AGGCTCTTAAGTCCGGCCTGGCCGTCGTGGTCCAGTGCGGATGCACGCCTAGCTAAAGCTATGCTTCAGGAGCTGGACACACCAACCGCCGACCCCCTCCGTTTTTGGCTGCGAGGCTTCCCCCGAGGCTACGGAGGGTTCGGGGCACTTTTTGGGGGCCAGCATCATCAGCACAATTGACAATTGGGCATTCGTTTCTCACTTTTGGCCACCTCAACATAATTAGGCTTTTGGAATGGTGTTGAAGCCTCATATGTGTGGTGTCAAGAAGGAAACTGGGGCCTGATGCTCATGATGCTGGCTCTTGGGGGGCCGCAGGGCACTTAAAACGCGCTATAAACCGCAACAAAACGTTCAAAATGCACGCTGTGGGCAGCGTTTGTGGCTGTAAAAACTAGTGTTGGTAGGATCTGCACTGTTTGATAAGCATGAGACAGGTTTGGCGTGCATTGCCCAGGCCGAACCCTATAAAATGTGCATATTGCATGAAATTTCCAAAAATGACCACATCTGGCCCAAACCCATGTTCTCGGGCCCAGAACCTGGGTTTGGGCCAGATGAGGTCACCTTTGGTGTAAACCCTTCCAAAAACAACCAAAACGTACGACATTGGCCCGAGAACCTGGGTTTAGATGTGGGTTGTTTTGGGAGGGATTTACAACCAAGGGGGCCTGAGAGCCAGTCTACAGGCAAAATGACAAGGGGGGGGGAGGGATTTTGAAGGCCAGTTTCGCGTACGCGACGGCAAGAACCAGAAATTTGGGCGATTAGGAGAGGAGGAAAAGGGATCGGAAGGGTGAGAAGGGCAGCCAGGCAAGCCTGGGATTGAGGGAAGTTAGAGGAGGAAGGGTGGAAGGGAAGGGGTATCGGAGGGGTGGGAAGGGTAGTAGGCGGCGGGGGGGGGGAGGGGAAAAGAAGATAGGTGGAAGGGCTGTCAGGGGAGTAAGAGGGGGGAGAAGGAGAGGGATCGGAAGAGTGGGAAGGGAGCCAGGGCCTCAGGGCTCGACCTAGAAGTAAAATTTGAAAGCCAGTTTGGTGTTGGGAGGAGGATCGGAAGGGGTTGGGCCTCCAATTTGGGTGAGGGGGGAAGGGGGGGGTGGAAGGAGGTCGGAGGGGTGGGAAGGGGAGGTGCGTGGGTTTAGAACTGGGAAATGGAGAGTGGATGCCTTGTGCAAGAAATTACCAAAATTGGGGCGATTGAGAAAAAGGTCAGGGGAGGGGAGGAGAGGAGGAGGGGTTGGGGGCCAGGGGGCAGTTGGGGGGGAATTTATTCAGAACCTACCTAGAGACCAGCTGGATCTGTGAGTCACCTGATTCTCGCGAACTTCAACCCGATCCCCAGGATTTCCGCCTAGTCGCACAAGAGCTGCCCGCCCAATAATGGGTTGGACGAACGGAACCTTGGCGTACCGCTCCGCTGGGAGGGGGGGAAGTGGGGGTGGGTAGAGGGGGGTCTCGGCGGATTTTGTTGAGTCTCTGCTGATTAGCTGCGTGTCCACACTCAAGGTTGCTCGTGCTGCAGATAGTGTGGCAACTCGGATTTGCCAAAGGCCAAGCAGCGTGAGGAAGCTGAATTGGCAAAGCAGGCTGCGGCGGAGGTGAGCTCAAATGAAAGCACATATTAGTAGATTTTGGACATTTTGCTTCTTTAAGCCTGCTGGCCCTCCATGCAAGTGGCATAGGAAGAGGAACGCCAGAAGCTTGAAGCAGCGCTGCGCGAGAGAAAAGAGGCCGACCAGAGGAGGAAGGCAGGGGAATTGGCATGGCGCTGCATCGATGTTCGTCGATGTCTGGATTCAGTCTGAGTACGCGCTTCGTCTTTAGGCCCAGGAGGAGCAGGATCGCCTTGAGCAGGAACACCAACAACGAGAAGCGGAGCAGCGCCGCAAGGCGCACACGGTTGCTCAGCCAGCTGATGCTTGCAGAAGAAGGCAGTTTGGTCAAATTAGGCGCAGAAGGAAGCAGAGCAGAAGCTCAAGAGAGAAGAGGAGCAGCGCCAGAAGCGTGAAGCTGAGAAGCGCAAACAGGAGGAGGAAGAGGCGAAAGCTGAAAAGGAGCGGCTTCGTGAGGAGGAGGAAGCGGCTATCCGCAAGCAGGAGGACGTCACTCGGCTGCTTTTCACTGTGTCAGCCTGGACATGCCTGGAGCAAAGAGTCTCTCGACTGCCAAGGCAGCGGCGGAAGCGCAGGCTCGTGATCTTGAAAGCCTCTAGGGTAGTTTTGCTGGGTTCTGAGTTCTGAGAGGCGAAGCAAAAGGCTGCGGAAGAACGACGACGAGCAGAGGAAATGCAGGACAGCTTGGGGCAGATCTTGCAGAAGCCGTGCTTTTGAGTTTGGCGATCGGTGTGGTGCGGTTATGACGGTTATGATCATCAGTGGCAAGCTGCCCGGGACGCATAATAAGAAGACCTCTTTCTTTGTGACTTCGTTCGTGCCGTGCAGGAAGCTATGGCGCAACGTGAAGCTGAGAGATCTCGGCGTGGAGGAAGGGAGAGGAGATCGCAGGCAAGATGATACGAGAAGCTTCACTTTCAGAGTCAGCTATCGTACCGAGTTGTGCGGAGGCCAA